GAATACCTCGGCGAGGAGGTTTCCCCTTGAGACTGAAATTCTCGAGTCGAGACTGCTAATTGCCGGGAGGTTGGCAGATCATTTCTGCTCCATCGGCTGAGTTGTAACGTCGTTATCGCCCTTGTCGGCGTTAAGGGCTTCCTCTACTCAAGCAGATTGGTGCCCGCGATTCGTCCTTACCCTTTAAGACGCACTAATATATTTAATATATTTAACTCTGAAAAAGTAATGAATTTAATGAATAGATAATGAAACCACTGCCCTCACCATTAAGTCCTAGGCATGGTCCTTAAATTTGGCACTGTGAATTCCGTCACCACTGGCAGGACTGAACTTAACCAAATTTGCTCAATCTACGTAACTTAAATAATAATAATTAAAAATCCTTTCAGCTCGAGAAACCGAACAATAAAATGGGATTTCCTCCAGGCACATTTTGGTGTCCCTTCTTTAAGACGCGCTCGTACGTTGCTCGGCCTTTAGAGAACTTCTACGCGAGAGAACTACAATTAATCGGTACGTCAACAATATACATAGAAATACATAGACGATCAACGTGTTATCAGTGTGTGCAAACGTAATGTGTTGTCAATCCTCGTAGACGAGAACCTACCGAATGCGCTTTTTTTCAATTAAATGCTCCCGTAACGTCCGGCGTTACTTCGAGTAACAGAACACCCGAAGGGGCTGAAAAAGCTCGCCAGTCGTTGATCTCTGATTTCGTAAAAGACGCATTTCCGAGTTGCTTCGAATAACGAGATCAATGGCGAACAATTAGCACAGCTCGTTGTTCCGCTATTTCCGAACGTAGGGCGGGCCGTTTATTGGTTGATGATTTAACGGGTTGTTTCAACGAGGATATCGTGAAGTCGGTGATCTCGGATTACTGATTACTGATCTTCGATTTCTGTCCGTGACACGGTTCGTCCATAAACATCGGCATCGTTGATTTCCGGGTTACTTGCGTTAACAAGAACACGACGGGCGATGAACGCGGATCAATTATTAATGATCTCGAATTTTTGCTGCTCGTCGTCGATGGGCCTTTTTTCGGTTATTCCGAGGAAAGAGAACGAGCGATGGCCATGACTCTCTGCTTATCACTGACTGACATGATCCGTTATAACGTGACATTGATAAGCGATCGATGCGTCGTGTTCGAGTTAATTCGAGCAAAGCGAATTACGGCGTCTCTGATTTTCGCCATCGACGCGGTCCGTTAATCGATCAACAATCGAAGCGTTATTTCCGAGTGATTGCGACGGGATTAAGGGTCGAAATTAATCATTCCGAGTTATCGAGAGAGATGTGCCACGAGAGGCAAAAGAGTGGCCCGTTATTCCGACCGAGACGTATCCTACCTCCGCTTATTCGCTGGAAAATGGAAAAGTTCCTAGCATACAAATCCTAGTAGGTGTATAAGGGAAGTCTAAATTAACATGGCAGTAGATAATATTCGGCCAACCTTAAAACGAGAGCGTAACGACCCGGGTGTCGAAATATCACTCGGCCCTCGTTCCGTTTCGAGTTAGATTTTTGAATACAAATTTTCCTCAATTTCCCGAAGCTATTGTCTGGTATTCATGCCACACTCCTAGAGTTAACGGACGACTTTAAACCATTTAAAGATTACGGACAAAATACGTCTTTTAACGCTAAAATTAGATACGAGGAAGGAGGTAAGGACCTGCACGAGTTTAAACGTCTACTTATTTCGGCGTCAACTATAACTAGTTTTAGATAATACCTCAAGACAATGCAGTTCCTGAGCATTAGTTTCGTATTGGCATTTTGAAAGAGAACGTAAGAAAATTGTGATAATTAAATTTTTTTTACAGGCTTTCTCCCTGAAATCATTTGGAACGAAGACCCTCGACGGCACGATCGGTCGTTGCGCCCTTACTTTGAGGAAGGACCGTGTACCGGATACCGATAGTACTTAACAGTTATTATTCCTTACTCGCTACGGTAGTCGTATAGTCGTCACCTACGCTAGTACGTCCGTGAAATCCGATTCGACGTACGTTTACAACGTAGAAATTGGTGCCGCGCGAGCTCGCGAGTTCCCTCTACGAAGGTATCTTCCATATCGATGCAAAAAAAGAAACGATCGCTGGCCGCGACTTTCGTACTTAAGGACAGGTGGAAAAAGGGACAGACTTAAGTCCATAACAATAAGATTGACTCAAAGATTCCTTCCGCGTAAAATCTAATATACGTGGAAACGTGCGAACCGTGGCGCAAAGTTTCGACAGTGGAATCGGGAGAAGTATTTATCGAAAAAGGAAATAATTCGTCTGGTTCCCTTACTTAACGTATTCTTTAAACCAGGACGAGTACTGCATTGTAAAAGAGGGGACTTTACCATATAAAAACATGCGTCTGTACCCTACCAAGGAACTGGCACCATTACATTTTCGGCTGTACACAAGTGTTCTATAGTGACTGCTCATGCCAGTTTCGTTTGTAAATGGGAGAAAACTCTGTCCAAGACGTTTCCCAGTACTTCCCATGGGACATAGAAAATGTACGAAGCTCTTCGACGTCCGATCCTCCTTTCGCGAAGATTACTTTTTGATTAACACCCACAGTCGATGCGTTCGCGAAAGTTCAACGACCTCCCTGCCCACGCTGAGGAAACGTGGTTTTGAAATAGACGTCGGTCCCTAAAACAAGTACGACATAAATCCATAGAAAGAAAGGATAATATTACAAATCGTAATTTCAGAAACTATAGTTGTATATCGTATCCTTTCCAGGGACTGGCCCCTACTATACAACAGCACAACTCGGGTGGTAACATTTAATGTTATTTTCTCTCAGTGTAGACGCCGACTCCCAACAAGATGGCGGATATCAAGGCAAAGAACGCGAAAAATATCTCAGTTATTCTCCCATTCGCAAACGAAGACAGTGTTTGGTGTGAAGTCTCTTTTTCCACCCGTCCCCCAGGACAAGGGGAAGAGGTTGGTAAAACAGCGAGAGAAGAACGGACGAGCCGAAGTCGCTAATTCGTCGGCGAGGAGTTCCCCCCAAATATGGAGATGAAATTCTGATCTTGAAGAATTTCCCGTCGAATAAATCGAGAATTCTCGGCGACGATTTGGGAGCGCTCGTCGTTCACCTCGCGCGGATAACGTCGATCGAAATAATTCCGCAAAGGGGGCAGATGAGGGTCACGCCGGACCAAAGACAAGCAGGGACGGGTCCTGCATCCTCCAGGGGGTCTTCCGGGCTCGTGGAGCTTCTTCGAGGTCCCTGGCATCTCGACCCGGGTGCGGAGGGTGATAGCGGCGAAGTAGGATGGCGATTCTTTCGGTTTCTTAAGTTGGTCCCGAACGGCGAGCGAGAGTCGCGCGCGGAGAGCTTCGTCGACGGCAGGGCGTCCCTCTCGTCGTCTCCTCTGAAACTCCTGATCCTTCGTTCACCTGAGCTACCTAGCTAGATCCCTAACGACGTAACTCGGCATCGTCTGGCAGTATATTTACAATTCCGACGCTACATGCGACGTTCCTGGCTCCGATTTAACGGGGACGGCGGAGCGCCGGGGACTTCCGGCGTCCCGGGGGTCCCCGGGCTGGCTCTTCCTCCCCGACGCAACAAAATGGCGGCGAAGTCCCTCGAGTGCACGTTCCCCCGCGCACTAGACTTCGCCTCGAGCGTTGACTCCGCGGGATGCGTACCATCGCCGTTTCGCAACGATTACGAGCGTGGTTGTCAGCCAATTAAGCTCAACGGAGCTCGCTTCGAGGTTAAATCATTACGTAGATAAATAATACACCGTTCAACGTGCACGGTTACGTAATACGAAATACGAAAGAGACCGGTCTATCGGTCCGTCCAAGACGCGGCGAAAGTAAAAGTCCGAGGGGCGGCTCTCGAATCTCCCGAGCTTAATTGGACGAAGAGTGGGCCGAGTATCTCCGCGTAGATGGGAATCTCGGTTGGGCGCGAGCTCGAAGCAAATGGCAGTCGTTTCCGTGCAGTAGCGCCACGCGTCGGTCGTAGCGCGCTTCCGCCCGGGCGGGAGTGACATCCGGCGCAGGGTTCTCCCCTCGACCTCGGGGCTTTCCCCGAGCACCCCCGCTTCCGGGGCAGGCGCGAGGTCGGATTTACCTAATATTTACAGAAGTAGCACGATCATGTAATTGAGATATCTGGCGCGGGGCCTGCCGTTGAGCTTCCTGGAGCCGTTCTCCCCGTTCTCGGAGGCGGTGTCGCCCTTGACCTCCTCGATGGTGGCGAGGCCGGCCTCGGCCTCCTCGGGGGTGGCGTCGTCGTCGGAGTCGAGGTCGAGGGTGCGGTCGTTGGCGAGGATCTTGACGGGGGGCGCGTCGACCCGCCTGCGCTCTTCCGGCCTAGTGGGGGTCCTGGCGGGAGTGCGGGCGGGGGTGCGGGCGGGGGTGCGCGCGGGGGTCCGGGCGGGCGTCCTGGAGGGGGTCCGCGTGGGGGTGCGCGAGGGGGTGGGCTCGCAGCAGCCGGGGCAGAGGGGGTCGCACTGACTGCCGCGGTGGCGCGCGGCGACCTTGACCATGGCCTCGGCCACGGGGCTGCGGCGGGCGCGCGACGCCCCGCTTCCGCCCCCACCCCCGCTCCAGGTTCCGCTCCAGGACGCGCTGCGGGCGTCGCGCCGCTCCGAGGCCCCGCCGCCCGGCGTCCCGGGGCCCGCGTACGACCCCGAGTACGAGCCCGTCCGGTTCTCCAGGTCGCACTCCGTGCACAGCAGCAGGTTCGACTTGCTACCTCTCCTCGAGGCGTACCCGTTGCACGCGCCCAGCAGGTCCTCCGAGTCCTCGCCGTCGTCGCTCTCGAAGAGCCGCTGGCTCAGGCTGCCGATGGACCGGTCGTCGCTCTGCCTGGAGCGCGCCCCCGGCGAGCGCGGGTCCTCCACCTCCAGGAGACGGTCCTCGTCCTCCCGCGGCGGCCTCGTCGACCGCGCTGCCGCCACCGCTGTCGCCGCGTTCTCCAGGTAGCTGCGCACCCGCTCCATCTTCGTGTCGCCGCGCTCTCGCGGCGTGGTCTCTCGTTAAATGATGCTCTCGCGGTTCCGCTCGTTGTCCTCCTGGCTGGACGTCGAGCTCGCTCCGCAGATCTGCATCTCGATCTCCGCTAGCCGGTGCTCCACCTCCACTTGCTGTTGGTTCAGTTTCACGCTCATCGCCGCGTTCTCCGACTCCAGGCACACCAGTCGCTCCCTCAGCCACTTGATCTCCGCCAGCAGCGCCTCGTGCGTCCCTAGCAACGGCGTTGCCCCCTCGCTCATCAGCTGCGTCATGCTGTTACACGTCATACCTGGAACGACGAATCGACAGGTTAGTTTGGGCCAGGGTGATCCTTGATAAGGGTATGATACGTTTAACGGGGAATCGGTGACGCTCTCTGGGCACTGCAGGGGACTCTTTCCTAAAAAGCGTCGCCGACGCTCCGTTACCGGACCGACCCTCTTTTGTCCCCGGTCTGAATCGACAGGCGAAGGATATTTAATTCCAGCCAATGATCGGTGTCATTTTTAGTGGCCATTGGGTGGAGTTTTAAGTATCTCTCACGCTTTCGACCCATAAGATCGGATATTAGTGTGGGCGAATAAAATGCGCTTCGAATGTTACGGGTCATGCTTCAATCCAGAAATTCATTTACCCGTCGAACGCGCTTAAACTGATCAGGGCATCGTTTTAAAATCATGGATTTTGAAGGGATTCAAGATGTATCGTTAGGATTTACGTTTCGTTCGACTTAAAAATCTCGATTTCGTCGCGGTGCCATTCCTGCCGGCGAGGGTGGCGTTTTTTTTTAGAAGGGATTTACGTTCGATCGCCGACTATTTCCGTTCCCGACCGGGAATCGTTCCGCGATCGGAGTACCAGATAAATGCCAGGAAGAGAGGAGTTTAACAGTTTCCATCGTATCTATCGAGGTTAACGGCCGCAGCTGTTTTACCGACAGCGCAGCGCGGGTGGTCCGGGAACGATTATTCGTTATTTCTCCTGCCCGTTGCTCGATGCTTTTTCCCCAGAATCCTGATAAAAGTGGCGTATTGCCATTGGCCGTGTCACTGTCAACTGTACCTACCCCTTAAAAAGGGAACCCCCACCCAGAAAACGTGTTCGCGTTTCCCATCGGTGAATTTATTCGCGAGAATCGAGCGATTGCCAGTGGCCAGTTGGCGAATCGACGTTACCGACCGCGTCGAAGCATTAATTTACGGTCGAGCAGAATTATTCGAAAGGTCCCCTGCAATGCGCATTGCTGCCCTGGAACGTTAACGGGAAAAATGCCCTTTGATCTCTGTCAGCCAGTCTTTTAGTTATTCAGTTAATTATTTAAATATCCCTCCTTGTTGACCCGAAATCGCCGATTTATGTACGGCACGCGCGGTAGGAATTACCGACGTAATTAATTAGGCTCGTAGATGATATTCGATAAGATGCAATGGTTCCCAGTATTAAAACTTATCCTTGGTATATTCAACCCCATTGAACGGAATATGCCGGAAGGGAACTAAAAAGAGGGGATCTAAACGGCAGTTTCTTCCTCCGCTTGTTTAATTCCTTTCAAGGATCTTAAGATTCAGTTTAAGTGTGTTTCACTCGAGAAATTTGAATGTCAGATCGAGCGATCTCCTGCAAATCTCGTGACTCCGATAGCGCATATTTATTCGAGGGAAGGAAACCGAAGCTCCGCTGCGCCGCCTCGGACCTCTGTCTTCGAGTTTAGCGAAAGTCTCGTAGGAATTATTTTTCCACTCGGTAAATAAAATGCGAGAGATCGGGGCTGGAATTTCGGTAGATGCGGCGCAGACGAGCCTCGTTGGTAAATTCCCGTCGCCATGTTGTGCCTCATCGTGTCGCTCGTTTAAAGTGATCGATCTGCTGACGCAGATGTGATTGCAAAATAGAAATCTGGATCGGCGTTCGTGGCGTATGCAGACCGAGACGTCGAGGATCCGAAGCTTGTAATATGCGTAGGAATATGAAATGCAGCTGTTGGGTTGTGTGTGTGGCCGATACGTGTAGGGTGTCGAGACCTTAATCGAGTACGACTTGCTCGAAGACATACATCGCTTGCTAAAAAGATCGCAAACTTGAGAATAAGAATCGTGCAAATCGGAGAGTAACAGATGTCGTTTAGGGTAATGTAAAGAAATACCGATTTTGCTTTGGTTTAAAAATATTTTAACGACCGCGACCGACGGTCAGAGTCTCTTTTCACTATGCTGGAAGATGCACGTAGTCATTGGATACGCGTTCTGATTTTCAGGTGTTTCAATTTTCTTACCGAGTAGCGTATAAATGTCATGTACATGTACACTCTATAAGCAAGCAATTGCGGTATTTAGAATTTTTTTAACAGGAAACGGTATAAAGGTTCAAGGTACAGGCGCCGATACTTCGGTCGAGTCAATGATTTTGGGATCTTGCATTCGCAGGCCTGACGAGTTATCCGATCCCACCTTGTCCTCGTTTTCTCTGCGTTCCCTTTCGGTTTTATTTCGACAAGATGTTAATCTTAAATCTTAATAATTTCAGTTGGACTCCGAACAACTTCGGAAGAAGATTCGAAAGCTGGAGGTCGGATCATCGGTTATTTCTCCGGTTACGAGATGGCGCCACGGTCTCGGACTAGGGAATTGATGCGATGCATCGATAGATGGCACCACGGATCCCGGATCGGAAATCGCCTCTACAAGCGATGCAAGTACAGATGGCGTGACAAATCTTTGACACGTAATGGAAATAACATGTAGTGTAGGGATAGATGGTAGCAACGATCTTGGGTCGCACGATATCTACGGGTGATGTATGAATAAAAGAAGGAAAGATCTAGAGGTCGTAACGACATCCAGATGAGATGCGCGAACAGACGGCGTCATTTCGCCTACTCCAAATGCAAAGCAACCCTGGTAAAATCCAAAAGTATCGGCCAACAACCGAAGAGACGGTTCGAGGAAGCTTGAAACGAAAAAGGAAATAAGTATTAGATAGCCCTAGTCACCCTAATGTTTGAAATAATAGAAGCTTTTCGGTGTTTCAGGTAACCGTAACGGTCCACCCCGTCTCGGGTTGTCTTACACATGCCATGCAGACATCGCGTGCTACTAGGACATCTCCGATGACTGCGAGCACTTTGCCGAGACTTTGTCGAGCACTTTGGCGAGCACGATGCCGCACTTAGACGGTCTTACCAGAATGAGAGGACTGTCTACCGGTTGACAGTTGAGTGGCGGCGGATTGCGGCGCCTTGGCGGTGGGGTCCTCGCTGCTCTGTCCGCTGCTGGTGGCGCTCATGGGGCTGTCCATACTCCTGGCGATGTTGTCGTTGTTCCCTCCCGTTTGAAGTCCCCTCGCGGTCAAGGGGCTAGGGCTGGGCGAGAAGAGGGAATGTCCCACCGAGTAAGGATGGGCTCCCCGGATGTCGATCGGCGCGATCCACATCTCCTCCAGGGGGATACGCCCCCGGGACTCCACCAGCCCCGGCGTACTCTGGCATCTCCCCATAGCGGCTGAAATCCCAGCGAAAATCATTCCTTTTATCTGTCATCCCTTGCCTGGGGCAAGAATAATCTCCGAAGAAGGCAGTTATAGAAAATTCGTTCTAAGGAACGAATTTTCACCTCGCGTTTCATTAATTCATGGGTACATCCGTTGTATATAACCGAAGATGCTGGATAATTAGTACGCTAGGTGGAATCGTCTCTCCATTTCTCTTAATCTTATGGCGATATATAGCGAGCTACGTGCGTTCTTTATCCTACTCGCGATACCTGCCATTCCGTATACACGGCTCTTTTTTTCCCTTGGGGGAAATATCGATGGATGATCCTGGTGATTTTTGTTATCCTCTCCTTCTCGACCTGTTACCCAAACTACATCAAGGGCCAACAAAGGATCCGGGTTTCTATTTAACTCCTGAAGTCTCTGCGATAACGCAGACCCGCTCCATCTGTGATCTTCGTCTCCTCGATATCGAAATTATGTCCGATATAGATTGATTATTCGTTCGGGACTCGTTCGGTCTCGTGTTCCACGGATATTTCTTTAATTCGTTCTACCGCGAGCGTTCATTGTCAGATTTCCGATGGGCGCACATTTTCACAGGTTCCTGGCATTATCATGTATATTATGCGACGCAGCGCTGCGCCGCTGCCAGTTAACGTCGAGATCCGCTTACACGCCGGCTTTGGTTCGATCGCAATTTCGATTATCGATGTAACGCCGTCCTTCGATTATGCCGGAGGTGCGGAAACGCAATCTCGCGCCGACTTTCCTCCGCTTGATCAGGAAAATGATTGCGAGATTATCATACCACCGCGCGTACTCTCGTCACGCGAGGGTTCCATTTATCTACTCATCCTGTGGTTTGGTATGTAAATCGTGTTAGGCAACTTCTAATCTGCAAAATGATTTTCAGGACTCAAACGGAAGTCCCAATGGTCCGTGGTTGGTTTGATGGGACGGACAGGCAGACGTCATAGCCGCCGCGAGGCGCGAAGCATTTCGGAGGGAATATCCCTTTCGGGTCCGGAATGGACACCCGCCTGTGCGGAAACGATCAAGGGATGTAATCCGCTGCGGCCGCGGGACTCGATCGACGTCGATCGACGTCGATCCCCGGATCGTCGGTGGATCGCGCGAATCGACGCCTTCGTGGCAGTAGATGGATTCGTCGACGTCCCGATGGAAACGCCCGGTGGGATATCATTGGCAGCTCGTGAAACACTCGGTGAATTATGAATTTCCTGAAGCCCCGACAGCAGGTGCTCGATTCAAGGGACTGCACTTCTTGTCGGCGCTTTACAGGAAATCGACACGATGGATCAGCGTGGCTGGGAGTATTCGAATTCTGTTGGAAATGATTTTGTGAAATGGATTTTGTGAAATTTTGGTAGGATTAGTGAATTTTTGGTTCGTAAGATTTTGTAGCTTTATGGTTGTAGCGATAGCGAGTTTGGTTTTCAACCCGGTGGGATATCAACAGCAGTCCGTAAAACACTTTGTGAATTTGGAATTTTCCGAAGTGCGGATATCAGTTGCTCGATTCGAGTTGATTGCACTCCTTGTCAGCATTTTACAGGAAATCAACATCAATTTGAAACAGGATAGACGGGAACATTTGAATTTGGTTGGAAATAATTTTGTGAAATGGTCTTTTGTTCCACGTGTTGGGGATTTCGCGGTTTGTAGGATTTTCTGTCTTCATATCCATAAAAGCAACGAGAACGGTGGCGATGGTGAGCACCCGATGTAACGTTTATCTTCGTTTCAAGCCCGATAATTGAATCGGACAACTCATATAATTTGAGTAACTCAATTTCCCCCGTCCACAGTTGGATGATATACGATCTATAAGACACCCGGTGGAGCGGACCAACTTTGGAGCAAAACGCGAGGGACCAGGACGGTTTTTGGGACAGTCCACGTGGAACTGAAACGTCCCATCGCGATATTCCCTGGACGTTCTTCGGAGTACATACTCGGACGGTCTTTTTGCGCTCAGAGTCGAACGTCCAAAGAGACTAATTAATTAAGACGAACGATTGTCGGTGGTTTTCATGGCAGATCTCCAACCAACACCCGGAGGTCCTCAGGGTGCGCAAGAAATATTCCGTCCCCCATGTCCGACGGATATTTTTTAACGGGGTCGTCTTTCAAAGTTCCTTTGACGTTTTTCTCAAACTTGAGCGACAAAATCTACGGCCATCTTGCTCCCTTGACTCTTTGCCACTGTTCGTTTAATATAGTCAGAAGTCGGCCGAGAAATTCCCCGCATGCGGAAATGCTTCCGGAACGGACATCAATTTTTAATGGAGGCAGAACAAGGCGCCTCCGAAGAAGTCGAGTTGTGGGTTTTCGTTAACGGGGATTCTAACGAACGAACGGGGACACCTACGGTCCCCGTTAATGGTGCTTGCGGGTGGCGCGTCTCCGCTTGCGTAGGATCGCACTCTTTTGCAATTGAAATGGCCCCGTACCTCCGGCATATAGTTGAATATGCACGAAGGGCCTGGATGCATCGTTCGCTGCGTTTATGAAGAGAACGTTTACGAGCGAGAAGTCGCACCCTCGGGCCGCCACCGGAAAAATTCTGGCCAAGCCGAAAGTCCGGGTAGGCTAAGTCTCGAATAACGTTAAAATTAACAGTCCGTAAACTTAGGGATTTAATGCGAATAAAGCGGGCCGCGCCTCCACCGCCCTGAAACAAATTTTCCCCCATGAACGGTGCGCCTCTTATCGAGCAAAACTCGGTTCCCCGAGTTTGGCCCGAGTCTCGAAATTAACCGTGAAAATATGTAAAAATATGTAAAAACTCGGGGAGAACTTACAAACGTCGGCAAACTTATTGGGCAGTAATATCGAAGTAATTCGTTTAGCTTGAAATGGCCTTTGGTTCGATTTTCCTTTTTTTTTTTTCTCAGTCAACGTTCTCACGTAGTTTAAGAAGCCCCATAAACCCCGAGTTTTACATGAACGAGGAAAGGGTAAATATCTGTCGGCAATATTCGTCGGAGGGTAAACGGACCTTGAGATGGAGTGTCGGATTTATGCGGCGTCGCGTAACGGTTTTGCATTACATGTTTCTCTCTTTTTCTTTTTTTTCTCCGGATGTACTCATCCATCCAGTTATGAGATAGGCTTCTTTATGGGCGCGCGTTGCCTTGCATATGATGTGAATATTTTCCCATATGTTTCCGCGGTTATACACATTCTGAATGGTAATCGGAACGAGAAATGCAATTCAGGTTTGATGATGTGTGTCATGTCAGTGATAACGCGAGACCTTTCCCATTCATAGAGGGAAGTATACTCCGGTTGCAATGTACTTATAACAATAAATATTGCAAAACATCAATGACCAGCCCCGTGACATTTTTCGTTATAAATATTCACTTTCGAAGTCATCCCTTTTACGATCTCAAATCTCCCTCGTTAAACTATCCAGAGGATGAACCGATTATTTTATTAATATTACTATGTAATTGCAATACTTTCCGCGCTGTTTAATATATTTTAGCTCAACTTAGTTTAACTTCATTTAACATTATTTAATCGGAAAATTACTAGTTGGGCGTGAAGTTAGAAACTGTCCCTTGCCAAGCGCGCCGGATTTATGAAGTACTATAATCGAGGCAAGACACCGACGTAATCCAACTTGGTCGTATGGGAACTCGAATTCGTAGCTACACCAAGGATGTGGTTATACCCTGGCGGGTACTTACTACAGGGTGCAGCTAAAACTTTCCTTTCTCGAGTGGGCAGTTAAGTACATTACCTGGAGCTTGTACTGCCCCGAAGTGTCGATTCGGCAACTTCCCTCCATGCGTACTCGAACACTTTCACGGAATTTCCTCGAGCCATGAGTTGAGGTTCCGTCGATTTTTCCCGGGTACAATTACGTGAAAAATGCCAAAGCTTTCTCACGTACTGGCGTTCCCCAAGATTTTTATCGTACCATTCAGGAATTACCATTACCGTTCAATAGTAAGGTGAGAATAACGTTTTTAATCTCTCAGGTTTTAAAATAATAATACCCTGGTTGTAAATTTTTGTTTACATTAAAAAATATGTTTTTAAATCATCTTTAGCGTGTCCATTATTGACGTTTATATCCCACGGTCATTCGTAGTACGACCCAAAGTTCGATTAAAAAACGTTCACTTTTCAAGGTAGGTTTCACGTGACGATGATCGTTCCGGGGAAATTGGTAATAAAAAAACGGCAAGTGTAACGCATTTTTTGCGTTGGATTTGTTTATCAATAATCATTCCGTCGAAAGTTTATGATCTATTTTATTTTGAATTAGATAATGTAGGGTAACTGACCTTTCTCGAGGGGAGCTCTCTTGTACTTTTCCAGCCTTTTGACGGCAATGGCCTCCAGCCGTACCCTGGCTGCAGGATACTCCTTCAGAACGTCCCACATGTCCTTTTTGCTGAGCACGAAGAGGTCGGAATAGCCAACTGATCGTACACTGGCTGTCCGGCGATTACCTGTTACAATAGTAGCCGGTTATTTGTTATCGGGCCGCTCCAAGCTACCCGCCGCTCTTCCTCCTCGCAGGCGTCCATTTTTATCAAAGTCTTTTAATTCCCTCCCGCCGACCCCGCATTTCTATTTTCTCCTCATCGTGAAAGAGATCCTCCCTATTCTCAGATCACCAGAATCCCACTTCTCGATTAAACTTTCCGATCGTCTGACCTGGTAGCGATACGCGATACCCCTTATCATCGCGATTAACCGGGATATCAGCCCCGAGTCGGAAATGAAATCGCCTTCATTAAATGAAATGAAATTATCGAGACAAGAAAAAGTTCCCTAACCCTTCGTGGACTTCTTTTATCGGGAGCTTATTTTTTCAAAATCCCCGAAAAGAGGCGAAAAAGTTAGGACGATGAAATCAACTGCAACGATAATTAATTTCCTTTATGCTCGTTTGCAGGCACTTTGACGGCAATTTAGCCCTTAACGCCGACTTTTTTTTCTCCTCGTTATCGCGGAGTTATTTATTGACATTGCAGGCGGAAGGCGATTTGCTCCAGTTTGACGGCACAAAGCAAATGTCCGGATAATTGCGCGATGTACGAGTGACGCCGTGGAATTCGTTTATCCGGGGTTTTGGACGTTTCGAGCGTGGCCGTTGCACCGCGGGTAATTCACTCCTATAGAATTAATAATGCTCATTAACGATCGGCATGTCCCGGACAATCGCTCGCATACGGCCAAATGAATTTTAAGTACTTTCGCGATATTCGCCCCTCCTATTTCCGTGGTTGGGGTAGGTCGGCACGGCTGTGTTATTCGAGATATTAAAAGTTCCCGAGCACGCGGAACGCGTGTCATATGCACGCAAAACAATAACGGGTTATTTCGAATGGATACCGTACGCGTAACGCGACTCATAATGGGAGAACTTCCCTGAACGTTCCTATGGGAATTATCCTCGAAATTTGCGCCTAGGGGGTCCTTGGGAATTTATGGTGCTTCCTCTGCCCACGCCCATTATCACTGGCACTCGTTCTGAATTTTCTCGATTCTGATTTACCGAAAATATAAAATCCGATTATAGTTAGATTTTTTAGGGCAAGCTTTTCTCCGAGATTGTATAAAAATTTGTTGAGGTTATTTGGAACTCTATGAGCACAACAAAAAATTATCCTCGAAATTTGCGCCTAGGGGGTCCTTGGGAATTTATGGTGCCTACTCTGCCCACGCCCATTATCACTGGCACTCGTTCTGAATTTTCTCGATTCTGATTTACCGAAAATATAAAATCCGATTATCGTTAAATTTTTTAGGGAAAACTTTTCTCCAAGATTGTATAAAAATTTGTTAAGGTTATTTGGAACTCTATGCGCACATCAAAAAATGAAATGTGTTTGTATGGGAAACCGTGGCGGGTTTATGATTACTTCGAGAGGATCCCACATGTGTAATGCAACTCATAATGAGCGAATTCTCTGAACATCCTCGTGGAAATTATCCTTGAAATTTGCACCGAGGGGTTCGTCGGGCAAACTGATGGCGCTTGATTTACCGACGTCATTATCAATGGTACTCGCGCGTCCTTAGATTGCTAATTTCTGATTAATCGAAGATAAGAAAGTCGGTTACATCGTCGCATCATTTTGGAGAAATGTTCACCCGCGGTTGTCCAAAGTTTTCGAGCACGTAGAACGCGAGTCGTAATCACGGCGAGCAATGATTATTTCGAGTGGACACCGCGAGTGTAATGCGACTTATAATGAGAGAAATTCCCTAAACATGCCCGTGGAAATTATCCTTGAAATTTGCGCCCAGGGATGCGGACGAATTTACGACCCTTAATTTGGCGACGTAATTATAACCCGCGGTCCGACGGACGGAAAATAAGAAGCTCACATTTCCGGGGAGTAAATTTTCAATCTCTCTTTTATCAAAATTCTCTACGCTCCCGACAACGGGTTCCAAAGGAATTCCCCCGCGTATTTTATCCCTCGACACCAGGAAATTTCGAATTTTCCGAAAAATACCCCCTTGAGCAGCTTACATTGTAAAACGAGTGGCAGTCACCAGGGTGGAAATGCTAACAATGCCGACCCCCCGCCGACGATTATTCATTCAAATTTCATAATTCCCCGCTCCTAAAACGTGCCTTCAAAAAAATTCCCCCGTAACGTTGAGCAACACAGTTTGCGAAATTAAAATGTATCCACGAACAGGGAACTTCCTATGTTTCGTGGTTCATACACTTCCTGGTGTACGCGGGTCGAGAAGAGCCGGTCTAGCAAATTTGGTTCCAGGCGAGGCGATTAAATTCGGGCTTAACGGGATTCCATAAATAGCGGCGAAGGAGACAAAAAACGCATCGAATTTCGGAACGGGAGGCTCATTCGAACGTATTTATGTGCGAATTAAGCCGCTGCTGGCAAAATGAAAGCTCGGCGAAGCGCGCCCCGTAGCACGATAATTCGCCAGCTCAATTGACAGAGTCCATACATGGATGCGCACGCGGGAGGAGATTTTTTTTTTTCGATTTGCGAGTATCCCTCAAATTTTTATCCTACTTCGACCCCTCTGGCGTTCACCCCTCCCCCGAATGGGCGATCGGATTTGAATCTCCCGCGGAAAAACGCATTCTGTGGACCCAGGGTCCGAGGGTGCTATCGAGTTTCAAACAATCCCCAAGCCGGACTCGAGTTTTCCAGTGGGAACGAAAACGCGGTCGGCCCTTTGTTGTTTAATGGATCGTTTAACGCGCGGTTACTTTCAACACTACGTGAACGATGCAAAAAGACAGTACAAGGTGTGTCATGGGTGTGGTGAAAAAATCCGAATAATCGCAAAGAGTCAAAAGACAGATCAAAAGGGGGAGACAGAGTGGCTGATGGGATAAGCTGCGGCTATGCACTAATTAATTAGGAAGTGTGATAACGTATCGTAAAAATGATACGAGCAAGTAGGTTCATTCACTGGTCGCACACCGAGATATGCGGATCGAGGGGTCTGTATAGGGTCTTTAGAGATGCAGGAAGGCAGAACACTTTTAATAAATAATAACCTATGCACGAGCGAGGTTCGGCCGAAAAGAGCGAAAAATTGTGCAAAGTGAAGGAACCAGAATAATCTTAATAATAATTATCGGGATAACGAGGAGCATTCGCGGAGTTGACTTGGACTCACTCATGCGATTGGTTATTTTACCTTATTTTTAATGACTAATAACTTTTCTTTCATGTCATATTACCGTAATGATAGTAAAACACGGAACTAGATACACCGAGTCATTCAATTAATTAGAACGATTAAGACATCCCTTACCTCTTTGCCGTTACAAGGAAAAGAGCTCATGAAAAAAGTACCGAAGTGTTCACCTATCTCATAAAAAATACTATATTATGAAATTCCCGGAAGTAAAGTTTGGTACATGCATCATATTCTCCCTTCTAAGCCATGCAACTATTACTCTAATCCTTTTCCGATAACGTCAAGCAGGTGAGGGGTGCATACGATTCCGATCAATTGGACCAACCGATATTTCCCAATTGAATTTTCGTGGTCTAATATTCATTTCTTAATTTTAGAGTAAATTGAGCAATCCGCGAATGGTCTCGTAGGAGAAACTAACAAGTTTTAATTAATGCAAAATTGTGAAGTGTCGAAGTGAGGTAGCATCACCGAGCGTGGTGCAAGAGGGCGCAAAAAGGGCGTGAGTCGATCGATCGTCATCTATAGCTACACTGCCAGTGATGTACTATTTTAGCGGGAAGGGTGAAAGATACCGATATCGATGCCGACATCGATACAGACAATGATCGATCGATCGTTGGACACGAGGGCCGATCGGGCCTCGCCGCGAAAGACCGGTGACAGAGTCCGCCATTTTCTCTCCTTCCTTCGGTTTTACCGAGTCGAGGATTTAGCGGAACTCGTGGAAATTATCGGGGGTTCCTGAAGTCACCTCCTTGCGGAAGTTGCGGCATCGGCGAGACCGGAAGTGCGATTGGACGCCCTCGGATTAATCGTGTCCATCGGTCACGAAGCGAACGAAACAACACTGGGAGAGACAGATAGAGAGAAAAGGAAAAAGAGAAAATGAAATAGAGAAAAAGGCAGATGGACGGAGGGGGAGAATCAAGAAATTCGTGGTGGTCTCGGAAGCAGAGATAAGAGAGATAGTGACAAATTGGAAAAAAATCGAAACAGTAGAGAGGACGGCAGACTAAAGAGCAAACACGGCGCGGATTTCATTCTTTCGAAAAGGCTTCGAATATTTCGCAGCGACGATTTCTGACGAATGCCGGGCGTCGAGGAGCGTTGTTATCAACCAGGGATTTCGTTATCACCGATCTGACTTCATTTTAGAAGAGCCCTCAGTAACCTGGGATAAGCATAAGGATTATTTCTCAGCGATTCAAATTGTTTCCTGCTGCTGTAATAAAATTCCCCAGTCTCTCGTGCATCTTTTGCGAAAAGAATATAATTATTGTTAATTTACGCGATTAGGAGGTTGAAGGAACTAACGTTTCCCGGTTACCGTTGAATTATACTCCCGCGAAATGCACAGAGCTTTGAATAAACGGAGCAACACCTCGCGTTAACGAGTTACGTCGTTTTTTCTAGTTTCCCAGGGCGTGATTTAAATTTGCTCGTTCTCCCGCTTTCTGCACATTTAGTAACGGGTACTAAAATTTATTTTTTTAAGGTAGCTACGTAACATGTATCTCGCGGCAGTTCACAACGGAGCTTTAAGAGTGGTAATGTAAATTACATTTTCTTTTTTATTTACAAGAGCGACACGTTTTAATGTACAGCTTCGCCGAATAACGAAATCCCCGGTGTCTTCTTCATTTTTTCTCCAACGTCCGTTGGTTTCGAAATATCCGTTTGGTCGTACTCATTAACGTTAACGAAATCGACTTACGTCGTGCGCCTCGCGAATGCGAAGTCTTACTTGGATTACGTGAACGGCATTTCTGTCGTGTAACGCGCGTTCGAGCTCGTAAACGTTTCAATCCAATCATTGTTAAAAGCCACTTTAATTATGCGCTTTAACGGCAATGCGAATGAACGACCCTTCCGTACAATGAAGAGCAAATAAATCGCGATTGCGACGAGTCGACCGTGCTCCTCGTTTAACGATCTACTTTGTTAATCGTGTATGGTGTACAATTCCTTGTCTCTTCTAAATTAATTACCCCATGGCTTATTAACGTTCCATGTAGTAGATACTAACACAGGTAATCAATGCGTACCAAATTCAATAAAAGTGTTTCTTTCAAATTTAAGCTTCTTTAAATTTCACGTTACATCCTGTAGGTACACCAACACGTTACTTCCTTACTATATCCAGGAAAGCAAGAAATTGCCTGTAATTAAACATGGTCGAAAGAAGATAGCATAATTCTTAAATTAAATATAATTTAAAAATAATTAACATCCGTCCACAGTATGTCAAAGCGTTCTGTACATTTTTTGACGTAACGAGGAATCCGAATAGGCGCCCATGTATGAATGTCTTCATTAAATGAAAGGATCACTCTAGTGCAATTATCCCGAGTAAAAATTTAATTATCCCGACCCGAATATGCAGGTGTCAAAGGGTCGGCATTTCCTGTGACCGGTTTAGCATAATGTCGGGAAAGTAAGACGTCGGTAAATTACAGGGCAAGGGGTCGCTTTTGAGGACCCTTAAGCTCGATAACCGGGGGCTTCGTCCTAGATTCCAAAAATAAATCGAAAACCGAGTGGTCCCGGTGCCGCGACGCCCGGCGTCGCCGCTCTCTCCCTCGTCGCTCGGATATATTCGACAGCGAGATGAAAGAGGCTGCCGCGAATTAAAGTGGCAGCTCTGCCCATACCGTGGGAACGTGAAAACGTGATACGTGATCGTGTAACACTTTGGGTATCTCTCCGCCACTTTGGCCCTGGGCTGCTTGGAATATTTACCGCACTCTTTACCTGCAGTCCCCATATTGAGAATGCTGATTTCGCCGAAGTACGAGCCCGCCTTCAGAGTGGCGAGGACCGTCTTGCCGTTGTCCGCCACCACCTGGAGCCGACCCCTATTCACTATGTACATCTCCTTTCCCACCTCACCTGTAATCAGACGACCGATGATTAAATTTTGACGACAAATATCGACGAAACATTGACTGAACGTGAAAGCTTCGCATTTTCTCCCCATATTATTTTCACATCATTTACAAGAAAACTCTTTTGTACTTTGATATACAGTTACATGTCCTTTAGTTTATAAAAATTGCACATTCATATTGTTTTTCACCAAATGATCAGAGTAAATTCCTGTCAGGATCTGTTATGTGATGTGTGTCGGAATTGCGAAAATGTCGGAGAAATGCTTTCCTGATGCGGACGTGCACGTGTTAATGTTTCTGCCAGTTCGTTCTTATAAATTTTACAAACGAGCAGAAAATACGATACTGCTTGCTATTCAACCCGTTTTATGTGATGTATTGGCGCATCGAATACGTGCATATGTGTACGTATAAATAAAGGCAGCGAAGGGGGAGAACGCGATGTAGAGGGCGATTTGACTTGGACGGACGTACTCGAGTAGAATATTCTAAGACGGCACAACCCTTTACAGTAACCTGCGCTGTAGATGCACCTCACGTGCATCATGTTGGGGTTAAACGATGGATGCTTCGGCACGTCCGAATGAATTTCGGCTGCCATTGCTTTTCCTATCGGAAACGGAGTTGAGGTTTCGAAACTTCCGCATATCGTTCAAATACTGAATAAAAAAAAAGCCTATATCTAAAGATATTAAATTTCATCCAATGTCAGATTATGCAAATGTAACAAATACGGTTCCTCTTTAAGGATATTTAAACAATCTTTTTACCACGTGGTCCTTTCGAAGCCTAACCTTCTGATTACTTTCTGAAATTAATCCAGACAATAAAGCAAGTAAATAATAATATCGACAAGGGAATCGAGGAAACTTCTGAATATCGTTCGAATTCTGTATAAAAAGTGTAGACATCCCCTGAATTTTCATCGAATGTCTTAGTATGAACTATAAAGTGATCTGATTATCACGTGGTCCTTTCAAAGTACTGACTTCTTATTACCTTCTGGAATGAATCCCTTGTACGTGAACGCAAGGAAAGTGCAATAGGTAATTAGTTATTTTCTTTAATCGTCTAAAATGCACCGCGACGTCACCATCAGGTATCGTTAAGAAGACCCATGCGTTCTAATGCGTTTTTCCATACATTTTATGCAAGAGGCGGATTAATGATAAGTAGAGGATGCGACGCAAAGTGCGGAGCAACTTGTAGGGAGGAACCTTGGAGGGTGGAGCGGTTCATGAATACTCGGCTCCGGTAGTTGCACAAGTCGGGGGTGCACCTCGGGTGCATCTAGGGGCTTAAACGGCGGATGCGTCGGGACGTCGGCCGAGTAATCGTCCATTGGACAGCAGCTGCATCCGCAGCTGCAAGGGCCGTAGGGGCTGAGATGCACCCGCGTAATGCACCGTGCACAGAGACGGCGTCCGGTGCCAACGGCGACGTAACGTAACTTAACGTACGTCCGAGGAATAAAAATTGTTTGTTCTCCTTGGCGAGGGTCCGAGTTTCCGTTCTGCCAAGAGGAGCGGCCAAGCGGAAGCATCGCGCGTTTCTACCGCGATCGATCGGGCAAATTAATATTTCATGAGGTATAACCCCGCGTCCGTATAGTTAGGTGGAATCAATTAGCCGATTAGTTGGGACGATGGCTTACTGCGGAATTAATGTGCATCCAGAGTGCAAGTCAGAGGGGATGAACGGGTAATAAGGCAGCCAGTGACTACTGCGGATGCACTAACGCGTGTAAAAAATTCGCAAAGAAGGTTCACTGGTGATTAATCATTGGTGAGCTGTGTAGTTTGTTTAGCATGCTGCTGTAGCGAGCGGTCCGATGAAAAAGTAAGAACATTTAAAAAAAGAAAAAATTAATTCCGGGGATGCTTTGCCGTTTGTGTCAGGCCTGCATCGGCACTTGCACTACTGCCATGAGGCGCAGGAGTTAGGGTCGATGTATGGCCAGCTGTGAGATGGCGAATGCGGTATCGGATTATTTTTTATTCACCTTTGCGGCAGATGTAGTCACCAGGTGAGAAGAGTACGGGTCGCAGTCTGAGGACGAGCTCGCACAGGAACCCAGCCTCCGTGTTTTGGAAGATTTCTACTCTCCTCAGCGTGTCGAGATGGACGTTTATGGCGATTTCCGCTTTCAGCTTGTCTGCAAAAGTGGCGATGGTGGTTAATTCAATTTTAAACGTTAATAATATCTACCCCTAATTATTTCGGTAAGTTGAGAAGTATCAATAATTTTCTCCTAATTTAAGGGAAACTTATGGAAGTTTCGAGTTTAACATCAGAGGTGGAAAAGGCGTATACTTGTAACAATGACGTCCTTTGTTATTAAGTTTAGCGTTTCAAGCTTCGGCGAAACGGGAGACGTCAATCTTCGCTGCTCACTCGCCTTTTGAAACTAAAATGGACTTCAGGTAGAAGGTAAATTAAGTTTCAGCCCGTCTTTTGGTCTTTGCTCACGGAAAAGCCGTGACTCGTCTAGGAAACGTCGATCCTGCAGGAAAGTTCCTTCATGTCCTTAGTTTCAGAATATTTTTCAAGATAATTCATTTTGCAAAATTCCTACCAATCATTGTTTTAATATTTTCTATTCAGTCAACTAATCTGGAGAAAGTCTAATTACGTATTCTGATTGCTACACATAGTCTATATAGATTGAATACATTTCTTATTTAATTCCAAAGTAATTATTAACTTCACGACATAAGCTTCGCAACGTAGAACGATATTTTGCGAGCAGTGCTCTATTCTCCTCGGGGACTGGATTTACTCTGAACGCAGTTTTGAGCCGCTTTAAAATTTACAAAATGCCGTAAAAAGGAAACTTGTAAAGTCGCAGGAAGCGGAACAAGCAGGGAGTTTCAGAGCGCAGATCCGACTACTGTTGTTTCATATAAAGTCACCTGCGGAGTTGTAGCAGAATTTTGTCGTAGTCGAGTTTGGAGAGTCCTGATTCGCTTTGTATCCTAAGTTTTGATCTTAAACTTGAGGGAACAGAGAGAACGTCAGAGGAGGATTCTCAAAAAATTGATTCTTTCCGCCTCAATTACGGGAATACTTGGCCTTTTTTACAAACACTCCCTTGCAAGAAAAATCCACGAAATTTCGTGATTTTTAATTTCGTAATAACTGTTCACACTGTATTCATGATAGCGAATTTTATATACATTTTTTTAACAGTTTATATTGGCTGATTATATGATGGCCACATATTGTCTCAACGAAGGACCATGTTCTAGTGACTGCTAAAAATAGTTGGACGAATCGAATTTAATTTCCGAGCTGCAGGGTCTCTTCTATATATATTTTTTTTTAATAATACGAATGGCGACGAGCACTTTCGAGGGAAAAACATGGAGGTTTTTGCGAGACCGACAGGTACGTGACAAATGTTTTACAGGAGTGACAGGACAGGATATTACATTAACGCAAACGAGGGTTCGCAAAATGCAGATGTGCCGCACTCGAAAAAACGTATGCACTCTGCCGAAACAGAAGCCACATAAAAATGGAAATACCGGAAAAATGATCCAATATCTCCGAACATAATCCCGGATGTACATGTATGAAATTGGAATATTTCCAGAAAACATTTAATAACATTCGTAGGTATTCTGACTCATCCTGTATAGATTCTGGAGGGACCATTTCCAGGTTGCATTTAGTTTTCGATGCGTAATATTTTTTTCGCTAAAGTACATATAGAAACATTGCCGATTTCGATTTCGATCGTTTGCCAGGTTTCCCAAGGATTAAGGTGTTATCGATATTTCCTTTATACCCTTCGAAGTCGTCCGCGATATTCGAGGGGTATTTCCAGGAGGTTTTTCTTCTTCCTTTTTCTGTTTCCGGTATACGGGGGACAGTACACGAGACAAAATGCCTCGAAAACCCGAAACCATGTCTCTGCGAAATGGGAAGGCGCAGGATGGGATTGCAGTTCATACCGAGCACCGCTGCACCCGAAAATTGAAATACAGATATTTCGATACCTCATAAATAAATACAAAAGTCCAAAAACTCGTTGCGGAAATTGTGATCGAGGTAAAAGACCCCTAGAACATGGCCAATGATGATTAATTTATAAGAAGAATAATAACATAGATGCTAACGGTTGAAAGCAGCGTTAGAATTGTGGTGATTATCTAGACAACAATGTACGCCTATGATGGAGTGAGGAATTATTTTCATTGTTCTGGAAGCGTTTGTTGATGTATCATCAACCTAGGGTATAATAGGTATTATTTTATAGGAAGTATCCTAGATATACACTCTATTATCTCTCGGGGAGCACCCTAGATACACCCTAATATTTTACGGGAAGCGCATCTTTGAAGGCTTTCCCCAACACGGAGCAGCTTTTTTCCCCTTTTTCTTAGTTTCCACGGGGAAAGAAATTGAAAATTATTTCCGCGGAGGACGAAGATCGAGGAGGCTAGAAAACGCTTTACACGTCGTTCGCTTCATCCGCAGTAGATATCCTCCAAGGGAGTACAGAAGTGTCCATCTGGGAATAAACCGAATAATAAACTGTCCAACTTGGTCCACACTCTCTTCCTCCGTTTCCATAGTTTATTAATATTTTTAATGCTATTTCGTAGAATAATATTATAACATACTGAGAAAAATTAAATAATGCCGTATTAGGAATCTAACACGCGATTCGTTCTTCTAGAGCTCTCTCTTTCCGCGGGTAAAAAATTTCATTTCTACCGTAATTTGGAGAAAATTTCTTCCTTCAGTGGGAGAATTCTAAAATTAGGTTAGAGGCTTTATTAGAATTTTTACACGAGATCCCTCTTCTTCCACCACTTTCCCATTTCTCTACGAAAAATCTCTCTTCCGGCGTACTTTGGGAAAAGTGTCTCCGCTTCGTCGGAGGCATTCGTCAGGAACTCGGTAAAATGACGTCCCGAGACCGACGTCTCAAGAATATCGAATAAAAGTCGATCAACGAGGGGGCCGATTCCGGGGGGCTTCCTTCGCCGACAAATCGGATTCTTTATTCTGGATTCTGAAAAGCTCGCTCGCATGGCGGAATTTGTTCGAGATCTCCGGATTTCCGGGTTTCCTATTCGACATGCCGGAAGTCGAAGCCTGCCTTCCACCTTCACGGAGACACGCTCGCTTGGTGAGAATATTAAGCTCATTTAAATACGTACCCCGTTTCTTTCATCTCCATTCACCATTTCCGAGAGAAATTAACATAATGAAGAACGGATGCATCTTCGGGTGAAATTTACGTCTTTTTAATTTTTACTTTCAAAGTGGAGATAAAAGTACGACATTCTGCGCGCAATTTTTTTTTTTCGGAATTCCAATGGGAAAGAGCGACCGAAAGTAAATTAAATTCGTGGTTTCAGTTTTCAGGACGAACAATTAAATGGAGCAAAGAGCGACGCAAAGCCACGCGTCTGGGGACGATAGTAACGTCAGATTCGAGAATCGCTTAACGCGTGTAATTACTAATTCCAGAGGGGCGTAAATCGAATACACCTACGTGAAATTGTTTGAAATTCTCCGAACGACAAAGCCACGAGCCAATCGTGCTTCGTTTAGGTGGCGCTGACGTGTCAGAGAGAGAAATGCAGTAAACGACAGTCACACCCTGGCCTTATGGAGGGTGCAAAATCACCCGCTTTCCCGTAGAAAGACCCACTCGCAATGTGACCTAAAATCTATAACTTTGAAAAAGGTTTTCTAACCCTGAAACTCCAATTCGTCCCCTATCCCCAAACTATCAGTATTCCACAAAGGTAATAAAATGTGTCCTAAAATCACCCTGTTAAAAAAATTCATTAAGTTCATACACTTTTAGTACATAAGGTTGCAGTAAAAATATAAATTTGATGTCTTGATAGTGAATTAGTGTACATTCAATATAGAATTCTAAGTAAATTTACAATTTTATAACATCGTGTTGTAATCTTGTGAAATTGCGGAGAAAGATTATAAATTTGATACCCGAAAGGCATTTAGTACGCATCGTTTGCAAATTTTTTCCATAACATATATTATAAATTTATGACATATATTTACTACATTTATAATACATGTTATACATTGTATTTGAAAATTTGTTATAAAATTAGTACACCACGTCTGAATAAAACTTCCAAGAAAAATGTTATAAAATTATAATTATTTTTTTTAACAGCACACTGCACGTGCATGTTAATTTAACTGTAATATAAGAGAAGAAGAAATAAGAAGGTAGCTAGAACACGGACGTTTAAAAAAGGTAAAAATCGATTGTTAGCAGGAATTTCGATTAATTACCCGAACGCTCAATATCTTCAGCTTTTTCGTTTTTTGCAAAATACGAGGCAGGAAGTTTTGCCTCCTTCGGATTTAGTTCAAAGAGTAATTGCTTCAGATTTTTTCATTAACAAAGGGAAAGGGAGGCTTCCCGAAGGTTCAAGGAACCTGGGAGGAGGAAACTCGGATAAAAGTAGTCAGAGAGCTAGGTGCGACTGCAGATGAATAGGCCTATAAACGTGAGGGCCGTAAGCGCGTTATTTCTCCAGTTTGAAAGTTTCAAACTGAAAAGCGTGTAACGACGGCCAAGGGAGAAGCTCGAGCTGCGAAGCAGGGATTCTTAAGCAGCTTCCTAAAGAATTTATAACTGAAGAAATTAAAAATTCACGACAGCCGAGTCGTTGTGCTCCTCGTTGCTTCCGTCATTATCGAGCGACGATTTCCTCGGAGATTTTCTTCAATTTTCTTTCTCGTTTTCCCGACGATGTTGTTCGAGATTAGAAAAGAAAAATCGTTACATGGTCGTTAAACGCGTTGGAACTGGAACCTCTAAGTTGAAACCATTTTCAGCTGTTATTAATTATTTTTAATAAAAATAATTCCATTCAATGCTCTCACGTGTTCGGTACTGGTTTGTTTTGGCATAATTACTTTTAGTTCTTATTTGTATTACTTTCATTTCTCTTCAAATAATAATAATTAACTGGGATTACTGACGCAGTAACGTAGAACGTAGACGTATGACGTAGTAAAGTAGAAAGTCCAAGTCGCAACGGCGAAGAAGGCGAGGGGTGCGTCGTTTCCCCGAGTGGAATAATTTTTCAACCTTTCCCGTTGAAGTAATGACGGGTGAGAGAAGAGCGAAATCTAATAAAAGCTCTCGCAGAGACGCACTTCGATGTACCTGGGCTCTAGAACATGAGAAATGGATCGGAGCCGTCTTTAACGGACGGGAGATGGACGATGGATACGTGCCCTGGACGCGGCCGTTTAACGTCGGGTTTGATCCACAAAGGGAAAAGGATTCGTGCAATTTGTTATCGAACCCTCTTGGGAAATTCGTGCAGGTATTTCTTCCGAGATGTGCAAGTGACACCTCCAATGGATCTGCCATATGAAAGCTTGATTAAAAAATATAATAAATGGTATTCCCTACGAATTATTCCCACAATTTTCAGCTTTCATTATTTAAAATAATTCCCATGGATCTATACATTATTTACACGTAATCGAATATCTAGTAGACGAATTAAAGGATCATTATGTCGCTCTCAAAGTGTGTGGGTTTGAAACGGATAGAAACTTTTTAAACATTTTGTTTTATGCAATTTAATATCGTAGACAGAGACGGGGCTGTGTATTAGGTTATAGAATAACTTCTCTTTTGTGGGTACTTCGGAAGGTAGCGTTGAACAATTTTTTCCATTTACGTTGGCACGTTGAATGGCGGATTCTTTCAAGGCAGGTCAACGGTTCGCCATATAAGAGCCAAGGGGTATAAGGGGAGCGTAATAAATCCCCAGGCATTCCCCGTAATTGCTCGTTTCTAATGGCGTTATGCACTTTTACATCGTGTCTCCGCGATTTTATGATGGTCGTAAGAAGGGAGTCGGTGGATCGTCGTAAGCGTGTACAACCGCGGTTTGAAGACCCACTATCCGTCCACTTTCTTCAAGAAGAATGCAATCCGCCATATTGGAGACTTATATGGCGATTTCCACTCGGTCGCTTCAATGGAGGGTACTTTTTACGGAGCTCGTTTCTCCGCTATCTAATGAATCTTCGGTGACACTGATAGAAAACTTTTAACGTGGCGATTTATCTTGAGTCGCGTTGCTTGAGTATAACCCAGAGGGAGTTCTCATGTCCTGAGTGGCACAGGACATACAAAAATTCTAAAAAATACAAAAACCACGAGAAGACGTCAATTAAAACAAGGATTCAAGAGCACAACGAAAATAATAAATACCGTAGAAAGAACAATTAAACGTTCGATAGGATTAATCGAATTAGACGACATCAAGTTACATCTTTTCATGTTACATACTTTTTATCTACTCCAGAATGACAAGTTAGGTAAAAGTGACATCATTTTATATGGGGATGAATATGTCAACTTTTGACGTAAAAAGTTTCCCGCCAGCCACGTGTTGCAGCCACGGTGTGCATCTGTGACAACTTGCGTAAAAGTGAAATCGAAAATGAGATGGCAGGAAGAGGCCAGAGTTTCACGTGGTGGCTTCGATTCAAAGGACCCCACGCTAGCATCGTCGGCTCTTTGAAACGCGCACATATTCGATATGCATATTCTCGATGAACTTGAGAAGAAATAGTTTGGTTGGCGGACTCACCGGGAAGACAGCTGACTGCTTTCTCCTCGTCGGAGCATTTCTGTGTCAGCCATAGATAGTCGAACCATTTGATCACCTTTACCTGGAGATGATTTGGCACCCTCCGCATCCTCATGTATGTCTTCACGCCGTCGAGTTTAGCTGTAATCACACGTAATATGCTCATATTAATATATAGTAATAACAGAAAATCCATATACTAAAAACCGTCAAATCCCGCATTCGCCCTCAACTTGCGTTTAATAATTTTTGTCAATTCAAAAACGTCGATATGATAATTTACCAGGGAAAGAAAATCCCGTGCAAATGATAGAGGCTGCGATTTGTTCATGGTATTTATTAATACGATTTTTCTCAGAGCATTCATCGTACTCGTCAAAGTATATCATCAAGAGCCGCGGGAAATGTTGAAATATTGATATTGCCAGTTATTAGGAGATATCCGATATTCCGATGTTGCAGTGACGTTTCAAATTGTGTGTCGAATAAGTAATTGTTCAGGGAAAATAAGGAGTATATATTTTAAGTAAATTATCGAGCGATAAGGGAATACTTCGGGTGTTCTTGACGGGAACTTTGAGAATTTATGCGGGAAATGGGATGGAAGAAATAGTGTCGTTTAGTGGACTAACGTGAACGCTCGTACCCGGGAAATGGTGATCGACACTTTTGATAAAAGGGAAAAGGCGAAATCTCTCTTATCATGGAGGTCCCACCACGTGTCAGCGTAGCGCCGTTCCGTAAAGCGTTTACCTAAGCGGAGACTATTCCGCGAGACGTCTATCACCGTGTACGAGCCACCCTTCGTTGCATTTTTTGTAAAACCCCGGAAAAAAGAAAAAAAAAAGAAAAAGGGAAGATACACCGAGGGGACGGGCGAATGAAAAATGTGGGCGATAAGTCGACACCAGATGGCGCGGTGCTCGCTTTGGTCGATCTCTGCACGATATCCCACGAACCTTCCTTCCGCGGCGAAACAAAATTGCTCTTTTACAGCGGCCCCTCGTAAATCCACTGAAATTTCCCTCCCCGCAGCTATCGCACTCGTTATCTTCGCTCCGAATCGATTCCGGACAAACTCAGGACTACCGATAGTTCCAGGAGTGCGTTCCCTCCGACTATCGCGCCTCCCTTTTTCTATTTCCCCGCACCATCCCAATAAGAGAAAAATAAACCACCTTGGAAAGTACCGAGGTATGATAAGGCCGGAAGTTCTCGGTTTTTCGATTTTTATAATTAGACGCCTCTTTAATAGGAGTAATTGCGCAATGAGTATTTCAATGTACATATTAATAGATTGTACTTTGTATTAGATTGTATTAATAGATCGTAATTAAGTGTGCTCTTTAATTGGAGTTGTGTTACTTGTTTCGACTTTGGGAGATTGCAACGCAAATCTAAAATTTGGCGGTCATTTATTTGGACGCTAATCGAGGAGCAATGGCGCTTAATCCGTAATTGGTACGACAGGGTGGCACCTGATTCGCAATTATTTGTCTTAATCCTTAATTGGTACGGCAGGGTAGCACCTGATTCGCAATTATTTGCCCCCGCAGCAGATCCCATTCGTCCCGTCGATAATGATTTACTAAAGGGAGCAAATCCGATGTACGCATCCAGCTGCAAGTACGCGTCCTTGCACCTGCATCTATTGGTCTGATCGATAATTACGTGTACACCTGAATTCCCTCCAAAGGTACTGGCTAGCCCATCGGTGCATGAATAACGTTCAAGGTGTTCTCCACCGGAGATTAATAATCCACGGCAGCAATTCGGAAAATCACGAAGTTCGTTTAATTTTCCTTCACAGATAACCGTAGAAAAGAAGAAACCAAAAAATGTAAAATCTCCAAGGGTCGTTTCCATCCCCCTTAACGATTCCTTTCTCAATTCTGGTGTTTTTAATGATTACTTGTACAATGAATAATGTACGCTTTTACTTGCAACTTTGTCAGTTTACTCACATATCGGAAAGTCACGTGCAATTCAATCCAACTATCGAATTTCTTGCGAGGACAGGATACCATCGCACGTTAGGATAACACATTGAAGATAACACGATACTCGCGGCTGGGTAAACTTTATTGTTCCGGCTAGGTGACAATAAATCCTCGTCTGTATTGGTTATCGTTATGCGCCAGTCTTAAAAGGAAATTCTTTTCCTTCCTTTATCGCATCTCGCCTTCCCCCAATTTTCCGCATGGCTATTATTAATGCTTGGACATTTACGACGATCGGATCCGATAAAAAGCGGGCAAGAAATATCTATTTATTTTATGCATGGAGGAATTTCCGAGCCCGAGATAGAAACCAAGAAAAACTGCAAATAAATAGCCAAAAATTGTGAAACTACGAACAAGTATATGAAAATAATTGCAGAGGTTGGGTGCTGGTTCGAAATACGGGACACAATACATTAACAGCATCAATCTCTCGTCCAATCAACGCGCGCGATTAAGTAAAGTGCGTATCGAGCGTGGCGGCCATGTGATGGATTTGTTTAATGCATTTTTTATAACGTCGCCGGGGAGCGCATGTTTCTCTCGCTCTCTCTTTCTCTCGTTTCCTCTCGAAGAAGATCGCCGGCGCAGTTACTGGCCAACGGTCTGTCGGACTCAAAGAAAAAAACCCACCCTGGGTCGGCATTTTTTACAGGTAATAAAGTAAAGTATTACGCGCGTCCAATCCGACAGGACGGTTCGAGCGCCATCCATAAAAGTCCAACAAAGTCCTGCACCCGAGAGCGCGGCTCGCGAGCGACGAGTTTGTTTGATGCATTTTTTATGGAGGATCGATGGGAGGAAGTATCCTTCACCGAAGAGGTGCGGAATAACGTCTGCAACGACCCGGAAGATAAATAGCCCCGCGAAGAGCTCCGGAAAAATCGGCCGAGCTCGGAGGCTCATGGTTTTGAAATAAAAAATAGATTGAAAAGGTGTATCTAATTTTGGTACGGATATCTAACGTGATGCGAAAGTGACGTCAAAGAGGGATATACGGAATCGTTTCGAATTTTACAACGTGAATATGGAGGCTATAAAGAAGGTCCTGACAAATGGAATTTCGATTTTAAAGAAAATTATTTATAGATGGTTGTGAAATCTCACATGAAAAATGAAATTGTATGGGTATTAGGATCTTCCTACTAGCCTCCATATTCACATTGTAAATTTGAAATAATTCGGTACACTTAGTTCAGAGAAAAGTTTCATGAACGATTGACTCCTCGGATATCACTTTCGCATCCTTTTAATATGGATACATTTCGATGTCACTCAAAAGACAATGTATCCAGAATCTTTTCCATGTATTTTATGTACGTCTATGTATGCCAGTATTGGATAAATAAAAATGAATAGAAGAGTACTGGTTTTATTATGCTCATGGCGGTACGAGAATACGACGGCGGATCGCTTAAATCCAAACGTAGCTTTCGTTGAGTGTGTCGCACTAATGGTCTAATGCAAATGCTCGTGCGATCGTCCATGTGCGAGACCACGTCGAGGGGTCCATCGGATTACACCGATGGAGCCACCGATAACAACCAAATCCGGATTAATTTACAACGAATTTACATTGTTCGTAATATCGTCCTCGTCTCCCTCGGGTACTCGCGAACGCATCTAATGCGCGCACGCCGAATACGACGTTTACAGGGGAACAATAAGATATTCGAGATTAAAAACTTTTCCACATCCTGATGAACTTTCATCTCCGGAGGAAATATCGGATATAAATACAGAATACATGTAAAATGGAAGCGAACTCGTTTGCATAGTTTTTTAAAAGACCTCCCCACCCTGTGTAGCACGGCATGCAGAAAATTTCCGGCTACTATAAATGCAAAGTTCAATGTTTTTGTGAATTCCTCAATTTGCTACGAGGTACATCTTGACCAGGGATGGAGGCGTCAGGTATAGCTCGTACCGTTCAAGATTGGAATCCATTTGCGAGTCAAGTAAGGAACGCGAGGAGGGAGGTTCGCGAGGTTTGCGGGCTCTTTACGGTCCCTTTACGGTCGAAACTGCGTACCGCGGTTGCCCACAAAGGACGGCCATTCCTTCGTGGAAAAGGAGCCAATTCCCCGTCGCTATTATTAAGCCGCGGCCAGGCTGCTGAGTAAAAATAGAAACAAGATCCTAACCGTGTCAACAGCCCGCGAGGACCCGGTAATTAATTTCACGCTCACGGGGCGGCGCCGAGGCCCTCTCTCGGGTTCGGCCAACCCGGTCTCGCAAGCGGGGACTTTGCAGTCGCAGTTGCCGAACCGAGCCCTGAAATTACCGTGTCGAGTTTGCCCGGAAAGTAAAGTCTTTCCTCCCTTCGAGGGAAAGGCTACCCGGGGCGGAATTCGTGGCCAGGGGTTAAATATGCTCGGAAATTGGCCGCGTCCGGTAGGAGCCCTCGGGCTGCTTGACGATATTGTGGCCGGGTTGTAACTCGAGCAAGGCTATTGCTCCGGACATTTCGTGACGTGACGTTGCTGTGAATGCAGTTCTTTAAATGCACTCGGAAGAAGCGGGGATTTTCCATCATTTTATTATTTCTATTTTATTCTTATTTCTCGGGGTGTCGGAGTACCTGGGCTGTCTAACCATACGTTGACTTTTACTGTCGTGAAGTGTTTGACGGAGGATATTATGGTCGGGTGGTATCTCAAGCAAAGCTATTGTTCCGGACATTTCGTGGCGTGATGTTGCAGTGAATGCAGCTCTTTAGACGTACTCGAAAGAAGCGGGCATTTTTCATTACTTTTGTATTTATAGTTTATTTTTATTCGCTGGTCCGTAGAAATAGCTGGGGCTGTCTGACCATGTATTCACTTTCACTGCCGTGGAGTGTCCGAATGGCGATGTGTAGTTGGGTTGTAACTCGAACAAGGCCACTGTTTCAGACATTTCGTGGCGTGACGTTGTAGTGAATGCAGTTCTTTAATTCCACTCGAAAAAAGCGGGGATTTTCCACCATTTTTTATTTATATTGTATTTTTATTTGCCAATGTGAATAGCTGTTTAATCGTACGTTGACTTTCATTAATATGGAGTTTCTGACCATATGTCGACTTTAACTACTACCAAGTGCATGCGTTGAGTTGTCGCGATATACTACAACAGATTAAAAGCGATTCTCTATCTTGCGAA